TTCATTAGCTTTGGCATTATGAAGTTTGGCTTATGGATGTGTTGAGGAAGATATTATGAGTTGCATCACGATTTCTTCTTTCACATTGAAGTTAGCTTTTATGAGACTTGTGATCATTATTAGGCAAGACTTGGCTATAGGCTTTTTCGAGCTTTGGTTCTTTGAGTTTTATGCTCATTGTTCCATTTGTTAGAAGTTGTTGGGGAAGGCATTTTGGCTCATTAGCTTCGATGTTGAAGTTGGCTTTGCATCTGGCAATCATTGGTGATGATTGACTATCATCTAGGGTAGTTAATTGTCCTTATCACAAGTTTTGCTTGATTATTGTTGGTTTGGAATTATTTGCTATTCTTCGGGATGGTAGATTCTTTCTTCAACGATGATTATACATCACTACATTGATGGGCTAATTGACGATCTTTCATGATAGTTGGTTGTTCTCTTTGATGGCTTTTGGCTTTTCGCAATACCACATGTTCTTTGTGGTTTGCTCTGGATTGGTCTCTTGGGTTTGAGACGTCAGTAGGATGTTGCTGACACTTGCTTAGGCAACTTGAGTTCCTTGGTATTGTTGGCTGGGATCTATTCAGATTGGCTTTTGTGATAGTTGGCAGGCATGAATGTTTGTTGGTCTTACCACATTCATTCTCTTTTGTTGATTGTTGCTCGAGTTAGTTTTGATAGATTTGGATGTTATTTCCTTTGGGTGATACATTCGCGAGCATTGTGCTTGTTAGTCAATGATACTTTGTGTTCTTTGAGTTATCTTTCGTAAGTTGTTTGGCATTCTGTCTGCAATCTTTAATAGTTAACCTTTATCATTGAGTTTACTTGATGATATACTTGCTATTGAATTTTGTTTGATGGTGAATCCTATGTTTACCAATTATGCTGATCTTTGGTGGTTCTTGCACTATAATACTAGTTTATCAGATGATAACTTACTTGGAATACTTTTGTGTTCTAATTTTAAGCTTTATTCACTGATAATTCAATATCTAAGATATCATTGTTTATGACTTTGATATAGTCCATATATATTGATCTTTGAGTTTGGGCCAGTATAGGCAGACTGGCTTCAGCACTTCGTGTGCATGGTGAAATCTCTAGTCATGGGGTAGCTACTGTCGACTGGTCACATAACCCGCCTCTCTGTCGATGTTCCTTGTTCCGTGAAAGGGCGTGACCGTGTAAACAACTCTAAACTGCCTGTTGACAGTAGTCTATCTAAACCTTACCGACGGGTTTGGTTTCTTTGCTCAGGAGGGTTGGGGCCTCTGGCTTCTCTCTCTATGTCTCTGCGGGCAGGGCATATCACACTTTTGTCGCTGGGTGACACCCAGAGCAGCAAGGGTGGCTGATTCCGTTGGTCATTTCCTTGTCAGCGACGGCCGGAAGGTGTCTGAGTTGGTAGCGCATCCGCGTTAGACAAAGAGGTTACCCCCTAACTCATTTAAGTTGGTGCATTTCTCACATAGTGTGAGTACCGTGAACTTTTTATGGAGTTGTTTCCTTGGCGGTATTCTAGACTCGAGTATGCATCGACGAGGACGTCGATCTTCCTAAGGGGGGGAGAGTGTCGCGAATGTGACTTCAGGTATCGAAAGTTACCTGTCGGCCAGTCCTTACGGACACTCTTACCTTACTGCCACGATGGCAGGAGGTCGGTATTGCTGGACCCGTTATCAGTTCCCACTTGAACTAGTTGAGAAACTGGTCAATGAACATGCACTTAGATTGGATAAACATAAGGTAGGAACCCTATGTGTTTCTTGCTGAGCATACTCGGCCTGGTTTGAGAAACTTGTGTCATTGGCTTGCACTTGCTAGTATCAAGAACCCCCGCGATATTGAGATTGGTCCCTCAACATCGTTAGATGATAGCTTACCGTGTCTGCCAAACACCCTCGCTATCATGCCCTTTATGTTAGTCTTAATTCGTCCCAAATGCTATTTATGGAAAGTGTCCAGATTTGCTCATTTGGCATATCTACGGAATGTAGAGATCGTCCTGAACACAATGGTGTTCGTCCCTTGTCCAAATTCGCAATCTAGGGACATTCCATAATTAGTAAGTTTCGAGCTTGTCCCAGAGACTAACTCCTGATACTAAGGGAGGCTTGGGGTGAAAGCCCAAAGCGTGTGTTCCTCAAGGGGGGGGGGCTATGGGGGGTTCCAAATGTATAGTAGGGATAGTGGGTAGGTCGGGCATGGCCGACCAACCTGAGGCATAGTCTAGCTCCCGCTTGCGTGCCTGTCCTTGTTCTGCGTCCGGCTTGGGTCTAAGCCCAAGTTCCATTCCATGCTAGCTGGTGGAGTACCCATGTCCTCGCGTTAGGCCACCGGTATGCCGAAATAGCGCCAGACTCCATTTGGCTCCGTTTTGCGTGCTGGTCCTGGCATTGGGATGCTGGTTGCTTCAGGATTGTTCCAAGTCGCTCCGGGCTCCTGTCCCTTCGCTCCTTGGGCTGTATGCTCGGGAGTTGCTCCGTGGTTCGGTTCCATCACTCCTTGGCGTCATGCTTGGGAGTTTGGCACCGTTCCTTCGTTCAGTGGCCCAAAGCCCTGAACCTCGGGTTCCTATGGACACGTGGTATGGACACGTGGCATGTGACACGTGGCATCTGTCACGTGGCACAAAGAGGGTTTAGGTTCCGCTTCGTGGTGTTATCCTATGGTAAATCACCATAGGATAAAGGGTCAAAACCACGTGCGCTACATATATCCAGGCCAGAAACCATCATCTTTGTCTTAGTTAGCATTGAAGTTCCAATTGCGAGGGGGCCAATATCCACATATATGAGCAGCTACAGAATCATCCCAACGGAGGGAGTGTGCCTTGCCATAAGCATTTCTAACCCATTGATGAATAAGCATAAAGAGTGGGTGACAGGGGGTAACTTATGTCATAGTCAATCTTAGTATGCTGTAGGATGTCCACTTTCACGTTTTTGTAAAGCCTCTGAATGAGCTTGGGGACATTTAGCTCTTGAAGCTATGTGCTTGTCAAAGGCTTTTACTATGTCAACATAGCATACATAAACTGAGGTAAGTCCACAGAAGTTTGTCCAAGGCTACCCACAGCATCATTAAGTGGTCGATGCAACTATAATGCAGTTGGAACCCAGCCTGCCCTCTCGCTCTACATCTTTTGTCTTCTGTCCAGCATACAAGACACTTTTGGCTAGAAGCTTTGCAAAGATTGTTGAGATCAAGGGTTTCTTAAAGCATGAGAACATGATGTCTCAATCTATAAGTGTCAGAAACTTAGTAGATTGTCCCCTTGTCCATCATAAATATTCCATAGACTCTAGAAAGTATCCATCCACACCTGGGTTCTCAAGACCACCGAGAAATTTTTTGTTTATCCTGAGAAAGCACAATATTATGAGTTGAGGATAATGAACAAAAAACAGCAGTTCAACTTGTCAAGTTTAGGGTTTAACTTAAACCATAAACCCGAAATGTAGATCCTTTCTCAGGCACTCTTCAAGGCTGTTGTGCGGGATCTCGTGATCAAAAATACGCCCCTATAAATTGCAGATCTCGTAATCAATGGCTATCAAGCAGAAACTCATTGTTACCAGCAGACAGCAGCCAAGTTGTGGAAAAGGACTCGGAATTGGATCGGCATGTACGTGTAATTGATCCAGCCAACAAGCGGCCACACCTGCGCATGTAAATCAAACCAAGCAGTCACTAATCTTCCCACTGAATCCAGTAAAGTTTAGTACCCTCCAAGCATTTAGTTGCACAGAAGGATAGTCATTGCGAAGTTTTCTCTTGACAAACGACCATGACTTTCCTGCGTAGAAATAATAACACGCACGGAGCTTAATGATCAAACTCTCGACGATCAAACACGCAAAGAGCCTTACCTTCGATCACGGAAGTGAGGTACACCATGAAAACAAAATTGTTCCAAGGCCCCGATGTGAGCTGCTCGACAATAACCTGGAAATCCAAATGCAAGGTAAGAGAGAAATTCCCCTTTTCTTTCTCTCAAGCAAACCTTCTTAGTGACCGTCTTTTGGTCGCGTTTACCAGCGAAGACGTAGTCCATGAGCTTGTGGAAAAAGTGTCCAAATGGACCCCCATACAACAAGCCATAGAGCTTGACAAAGAAAAAACAAAGTAAATTAAGATCTAGGACGAAGAACACGAAGAATTTCTTACCGCAATGAGAAGGGCGCGCCTCAGCTGGAGCTTCTTGACCCCCATGAGCTTCTGCGCGACGAGATCACTGCATCCAGCCAGCGTCCCGGCCGTGAGCGCCTGGAAATCGATCAAATGGAGGGAGGAATTCCATGAAATCGAGCAAAAAGAATCGATCTCCGGCCTACCTTGGTGGGCAAAGGATTCTTCTGCAAGGAAGTAAGGTACTTGCGCCAAGCGAGCTTGACGATCTCCATCCCTCCCCTCCAAAATTCCCCACTTTCTTCTAGTTATAGTTTTGCGCCTATCTTTCCCTAAAGGATTTTGAGCCTTAGCCTGTCTTAAACATCGGGGATAAACCAAGAATATGCTAGTAGTTTTTGACAGGAGAATCGAACCCGAGAATTACCCTAGGGCGCTCTAGGGTTTTGGCGGCGGCTGGAGATCGATCAATTGCGCCAGGGATTCCGCGATGGTAAGCTCTTCCTTCTCAGATTGCAGCTGGGCCTAGTGGATTGATTCGTCTCTCGGCGCGTGCTATCAGCCGAAGCAGATCAGCGAGATCAAGGATTTCTTGCTGACGGTGAGGCGGAAGGACGCGCGCTCCGTCAAGATCAAGAGGAGCAAGAATGTCGTCAAGTTTAAGGTCCGCTGCAAGAAGTACCTCTACACCCTGTGCGTCTTCGACTCGGACAAGGCCGACAAGCTCAAGCAATCGCTTCCGCCTGGTGGGATTTTTCATCGTTTCGCCCCTTCTTCTTCGCTAATCTGTTCTTTGTTTCTCTTTTGCAGGCTTGACTGTGCAAGATCTCTAGGACAGCTTCGAGAAGGAAGCTCACATTTTGTAAGAGAATGGCTTAAGTTGAATTGACGTTGTTACTAAGGCTTTGGGCCTTTCATCTTTGTTGTTTCGAAGAAAGCTTAGCTCTGGAACTTGGTGAGCTCAAAGTTGCCGAGTTTTCCCAACTCAAGGTGCTGGCGATTATGCTTTCATCATCCGCCAGCCAGTTCTTTCGATTCCCAACGCCAGAATTGAGAAATATCAACCTGGATAGCATTCGTCATGAAGAGGAAAAATAGATGGAAGTGTACCTGAGGACCATGCTCCGCTTCCGAAATTCGTCATGGACAGAACAAGCTCAAGGCGAGCCACGAGACAAAGTGTGGGAGCATGTTGGATGCTCGCAGCATTTTACAGGGGCGATCACGAGATCGAAGTGAGCCTGAAACACAAGAGACTATGCACGAGACTCCCAAATCCAAAACATTCTTGCGTTCTTAGAGGTGCCTTAGAGGTGCTCGTCTACGATTTTGGTGACAACTTGGACACCATGCTGGGAAAGCAGCTAGTTAGCCATGACAAAGAGAGCTAGCTCGCTTACATTGTGTATGAAAAACTCGTCTTTCTCCACCAGTGAAGGCTTGTCCCACTGAGCAGTGAAGACGCGAGCTCCTGACGCCGCCTGGGGCGGCGGCTGAAGGAAAAGTCTGTGCGTCACAAATCTCTGCGTTCTTTATTTTCTCAGAGGTTAGTCCACAAGTGAAAAGAACACAAGATACCTGCCAAGCTGCCGGCATGTACTCGCGGTACTGGATGCGAGAAGCGATGGCTTTCCTCTTGGGAGGTGCATAAAGGAGAGCCTTCGTTGCCAGAACCAAGAAAAGCTTGGTGTTGCGAAGGTTACGTAGCTCTTGGACAATCAGCTCGGAAAAACGCTGGACACCGAGCGTTCTGCAAACGAGATGATATCCTTTGCTTTCAAAAGGAAGAGGTCCCTTATTCTTACCTTCGACTGGTGTAAGCAGCAGCACAGCTAGACATCCAATCCAGCCAATAAAACGAGCCAATACTGCAAAAGACCACCAAAGTTACACACCATTTCTCGACATTGACTGAGTAAATTGGAAGAGAACCCGTCGATAAGAACTAGCTGTACTGCTTTGCCGTGGTGCTCTTGAGATATCCTGCTTGACTGGATGTGAAGGCTCTGGGAAGCAAGAAAAGAGACAAGATCGACCGAGGACTTAAATGAAAACTGCCGGTTCCTTACCTTGAGAGATGCCAGGAATTCAAAGCTCTTGAAACACCTCAAGCAATAAAAGCGTCTCAGGCTGGCCCTCAAAACCTCCTCTCCTTGCTCTTCCAAGCAAATCGAATTCGAAGCTGTATCATCCTTATGTGCCTCTAAAGTGTTCTAAACGTCAGAACTTTGCTCTCTAAGAAACTGATAGAAAAGTTTACCATTAATACGAGCTTTGAGCACGCTGGTCAGACGCGCTATGTCGAATCTCCCATCCAGATCAAACATGAGAACCACAGCTTCCGATCCTCCGTAAGAAACTCCGTTAAAACTTGCTGGAAGAACACACGAAACAGCAGCCTGGAAATAGAAAAGACGATCGAACTCACAAAGTCTAGAAAAATAACGAGCGAATGAACGAACGAAAGCGCGAACCTGGATAAGCAATTCAGTCTTTCCAGACCCACTAGGCCCAGCAATCTCCAAGACATGCCCCGGCCTAAGCGCAGCTCGATCCAGAGGAGGAGCAATCGAAACAACCGGAGGCCGCCTCAAATCTCCTGCTCTTCCAATCCCACATTCTCTCCTGCTCTCGCTCCTCTTGCTCGCCCAGCCCTGGAACGCGTCCACAGCGGTCTCGTCCGTGGCACACCACCCGCGAACTTGATCCGGGGTCACAGTCACGCTCTCCATATCCAATTCTTTCTTCCTGCTGGAGCTGGAATCGCCTGCTTGCGACCTCCGGCGCCATCGCGGCGCTACTGGAGCACGGCGCTTGCGTATCCATCCCTCGCTTTTCTTCCTTCTCGGCATTCCAACCTAAGTATATGAAAACAATTAAACAAAAAGTTTATAGATCCAATTGTCCTGGAGAAAGCATGAATTCAGCGATAGTTCCAAGTAGACGAGAGAACAAAAGTTTTGGCTTACCAGTTTTACAAAAGCTTCAATTGTCTTGTCACCGAATCAACGAGAGGTTTGGGTCCTGCGGATGAAATGCAAGTTACGCAAAATCGAACGAGAGAAATGTGTGAAACCTGGTCCAATCACCAGCACCGTCTTCGAGCCTGCTGCTACCTGTTTGAATCAAACACAAGTATTTTTGTTTCTTTCAGTAGCAAGCCTGAGAACAAAAGAAGAACGAAAGAAAAAAAAGTGGAAGACGAACTATAGATTTTAAAAGAGGTCACCATACCTGAGTGCGACCTGCATCGGCGATTGTAAAAGTTGGCAGTCCGGCTCTCTCGGCTTTTGCTTTCAGATCATTCCTGTTAAGATTTATGATGAGCGAGCGATGATCTTTCTGAGAATGGTTTTAAGTCTCACATTTCTGGTTCGTGCTTGCAGCTGACAACAATCTTGGGTTGGCCGCAAGATTCCCACTTGCTCAGCAGCGATCGATTGCTGGATGAAAAAAATACAAATGCGTAAGAACGCAACACACGTGTGAGGAAGTTTTGCGATAAACCGAGAACGTACCTTTGCATGAGATCGCTGTATATGCCCACTGCTGCATCTGGACGAAAGAATTCACAAAATCGTCAGGAAAAGCAAAGGAGAGGAGCAAGAATACTAAGCAAACTTTTCGAGAGCAAAACTCACGAGCACACTGAGAGGCAATCTTTCCTCCTCCCATCTTCAAATCCATTCGCACAACAAGCACCTGCGCAAACAAAAGAAAGAGCTCAGATATTCAAAGGTCGAGGAGAGACAACAGTACCATTTTGAGCTCGCCAGTTTGATCCGAGTTGATAACGCTGCTACCGCTAGAGCTGGACGATCCAGACGCAGCAGCATTGCCTCTTCTAGCCTTGCTACCAGACCGAGGAGCAGCAGGGGTAAAAAGAGCCTTGCCGGCATTCTTTGGAAGCTCTGTCCACAATCCCAGCGTGAATCCCAGTATGAGCCCCGGCAAGAAGTAGGAGATTTTGAGCGCAATCGTCAGCCAGGTCTCCCTGCCGCTGGCGCTAGCGCTGGCGCCGATTTCCTGCCGGAAAAGAAAAGAATCGAATCGATTCGATCGATACGGCGAAGGAATGCGCTCGATTGACGAGATTAGGGCGAGGAAATACCTGACGAGCTCGGGGCGAGCGCTGCAATGGCTGCTTGTGGCTTCGCCAATGCGGCTTCTCCTCGCGCTTCATCATCCCTCTTTCTCCTCCACCAAAATCGTGGGGTTCGAATCTCTTCAAGTATAGTTCTAGGGTTCGAATCTCGACACAAAGTTTTGAGGTTCGAATCTCCTGAATTACACATTAAAATTCGAAGGTTCGAATCTCTTCAAGTAAAGAAAATTTAAGGAAGTTCTAAGCCAGCGATGGCGGCATCGCTTGGCGCAGCATTTCCAGGGATTTCCAGCTCCTTCTCGAGGGATCGCGAGCATCATCGCCGGCGTGGCCATGGAGTAGTCCCTGTTGCGGCTAACAGCAGTGGAGGCGGGGGTGGGATCAAGACTTCGACGTCCCCAGTGGGGGATTTCGGGCTCAATCTGGCAGAATACGAGGCGCTGCCATCGATTCAAGCTCCCAAGCGTGTTGTTCTTGTCCGCCATGGCCAGAGTACGTGGAATGAGGTAGGACGCATCCAAGGCAGCTCCGATTTCGCTGTTCTCACGCCCAAAGGTGAGATTCAAGCCGAGACTTCCAGGCAGATGTTGATTGGGGACTCCTTTGATGCCTGCTTTCACAGGTTCTTCTCATTCTTTTCTTACATTGTAGGAATTTCGTTTCGTTTCGTTTCTCCATGATCAAGCGATCACAATTTCATTTGTTTTCATCTTTGCAGTCCACTCGCAAGGGCCAAACGAACGGCGGAGATAATATGGGCTGCGAGACCACGTCCAATGTTGTCAGTGGATGACCTTCGTGAGATTGATCTCTATGCTTTTCAGGTGCGTGAAAAAATATTCTGTTTGGTCGATGTTCCCATCATTCTTTCTCCTTTGCAGGGTCTAATGAAGAATGAAGGAAAACAGCGTTATGGTGATGCATATAGGAAATGGCAAATCGATGCTCCCAACTTTGTCATTGATGGTCACTTTCCAGTCCGAGAACTTTGGGTCCGGGCACAGAATTGTTGGAGCAGGATTTTAAGCTCCCAAGGCTCTTCAATTCTTGTGGTGGCTCACAATGCTGTGAACCAGGCACTTGTTGCCACTGCCGCTGGTATACCAGGAGCTCCTTTTTTCTTTTCTTCTTTCTCTCACCTTTTATGTGGTGATTGACAGGATTGGGACCACATTACTTTAGGCAACTTTTGCAGAGCAACTGTGGAGTGACCGTGCTTGATTTTACACCACGTTTTAGTGGTGATGGGCCTCCATACACTTGTCTCGACAGACTTAATCAGGTATATTCTATAGTCGCTTCTATTTTCTTTTGCTGATTCCAGTTATGTAATAGACTCCAAGTCCACCAGTTGCTGCGGGTGGAGGAAGAAAAGCACGGTGCTGCCTTGTTCTTGTTTGCCACGGAGCTACTGAAAGTACTGTTCAGGTAACAGACTTGAGAATCATGCGTGCGTTTTATTTGTTGTTCGTGATTGTGTTCGTCTCTGCAAAACTTGACAGAAAAAATTAAGCTGCGAGGATATGTGACATGGGATTAAAAAGTTGAGAGTCTGCGGTAAGCGTTTGTGTTTGAAAAGTGATGCTAATAGATGCGAAAATTGCATTGCGTATGTCTTCCAGTACTAGACTTGATCGAATATTTTTGTGCTTGCAGAAGCGATTTCCATCCTCGGACAAGGAAACCATGAACATGCTGGGAGTTATTCAGGTTTGGTAGTTTTTTTACACAAGCTCATGTATTGATAGGATGCACTGTTTGACAGTCACGTAAGACAGCAGAATTACTGCTTGATGTTAGAGCAGGAAACATTTTTTCCGGTCCGCAACCTTGCTCTGTGAGCACGGCAGCTTCAATCGCCGAGGTTTCTTTCATATGCTCTGAAATTCTTTTGTCAAGCTAAACGCTTTCTTTTTTTCTTTTTCTCGCAGGTTCAAGAGGCTGCTGATTGTCTGGGAGCTGACTGCGTTCCCAGATACGTAGAGGTTCAAACACTACCTGAATTAGACGACATGAATTGGGGAACTTGGCAGGCAAGTTTTTCCCATTCTCGACTCACTCTTTGTCTTAAACTGTGTATTTTCTCATGGGACATTCCAGGGGAAACTAAAAGAAGAAGTCGCCCATCGTGAACGATGGCAGGACTTTCTCCAGCACGAGACCGTCGAGGGAGCCGAAAGCTTGGCACACCTGTGGGAGCGAGCTGGAAACGCCTGGAAGAAACTCACGCTCAGCCTCAAGGATCTGGAAGGCACAGAAAACAGCACGGCTGTGGTGGTGGCTCACGAGACGGTTCTCACGGCTTTGCTCGCCCACTGCCTCGATCTCTCGCAGGCCTTCCTCGGATCCTTTCGATTGGACACCGCTGGAGTGTGCGTGATCGATTTTCCCGATGGATACTCCGGCAAGGGCGTGGTTCGCTGCTGGAACTACACGGCCCATCTCGGGCGATGGGCGGTCCCAGTTACGCGCCCAACGCTGGGAGACGAGGAGTTCTAAGGAGACGCGCGAAAACAAAGATTTTAAATTTGAAGCTCGTCGGGGGTTCGAAACCCGGCATAAGCGAACAAAATCTAGTCTCCAACTTAGGGTTCTTCGTTTGTTCCATGGCGACGGTGGCAGCGCAGATATCCTCGCGCGGGGCGAATCTCATTGCTGTGATTGCGGACGAGGTGTGTGAGATCGTCGCCGGCACTGGCGAGAATCCGGGCTGAATGATTTTGGGGTTTTCCAGGACACCGTGACGGGATTCTTGCTGGCAGGAGTAGGGAATGTGGATCTGCGCCGCAAGACGAACTATCTCCTCGTGGATTCCAGTAATGCCCAGCTCCCCTTTGTTTGCTAAGAATCTGTGATCTCTTCCTCCGCAGAGACGACTGTCAAGACGATTGAGGAGACATTCCGGGATTTCACCACCAGGGAGGACATTGCCGTCATCTTGATCTCGCAATACGTGAGTTTCTTCGCAAATCCAATCCTCCAACGAGATATCTCTTGCTTGTTCTTGGCAGATCGCAAACATGATTCGCCTCACGATCGACGCCTACAGCAATCCCATACCCGCGATTCTGGAGATCCCGTCCAAGGATCACCCCTACGATCCATCGCAAGACTCCATCTTGTCTCGCGTCAAGCACATGTTCTCCGGCGAGCCCGCGAGCGCTTCCAGCAGACAATAGGAAAGATTTCTTCGCGGATACTAAACCCTAGCTTGGATTTTAGGGTTCTTCGCGGCTATGGATACCAAGCAATGGATCGAGACTGGGCTGAGGAAATTCCAGGAAGTGAGGAGCCGGCGCCAGCAGCTCCGGAGCGAGGCTGCCGCGGAGGCGATGGTGGATCCTCGCGTAATTCTCACCAGGAAGGCAATCTACGCGCTCGCAATCGGCTGGATGGGCGTCTTGGGGTATCTCTACACGATCAATCGATCCTGGGACAAGGCCGCTGAGAAGTCCGCCGCTGCTGCCGCCGCCGCGAACAGCCGCCAGCGCGATGGGATCTAATCGATCGCTCTTTCTTTCCTCGCGAAAATGCAGGTAGTGTTCTTCCAAATTCTCTCTAGTTCGCTAAGAAAGGGATCCTCTAGAATAAATACGGCAGCTGGACGATCTAATCTCTAGAATCTCCTCATCGATTGAGCGAGGACAATCTCCTCGACTGGGCTGCGATGATCTGGGCAGTGGAGGGGCTCTGTGAGACGAAGATTTGGAAGCCATCGTCCCAGGCGGGGCTCATCCCATCCGCGAAGAGCTGCCACACGAGAGATCCCGCCGCGGCGCCGCCGGTCCTGGCCGATGCGTAGACAGTGGAGTAGAGTGTGCTGAGGAATCGATCGCGCTGCCCCACGACATAGCCGGGGAGCCGGTCGGATTTGCCAAACTCCGCGAAGAGCACGGGCTTTTGGAGCACCGCGGTGGCATCGTCGATGTGTTCTTGGACCCAGGAGGAGAGGAACTGGAGCTGGGCATCGATGCTCGCTCCCGGAAGCCTGGGAGAAGAAAGATCGTCACTCTCACTTGATCAAGGTGGGATTTTTGTCATACCAGAGATCGGGATAGCTGTGGACAGTGGCAAAATCGATGCTGGGGATTTGGTTGTGCCGCAGGAAATCACTGCCCAGATTGCTACTCCAGCTTCCCGGCCTTGTTCTTGCGGGATCTTTGTAAAAGCCTTCCATTCCAACGTCGACGAGGTGATTAGCGTCGAGAGATTTGATAAAGGATGACATCTCTTTGATCCAGGCCTGGAAAAAAATGTGTTTTTTTGTGATCGAGAGAGTTATAGATGCTTGCCTCGAGGGTGTTGCCGGATGGATCGCTGGGGATTCTGGGCTCGTTCATGAGCTCCCATGCAAAGATTGTTGGGTCGTCGCGGTAGGCGATCTTGGTGATGGTGTTCACTCTCGTCACCACTGTCTGCAAAAAAATAGAAGATTTTGAGCAATCTTGTCAAAGTTCTTGTTATGTCCATTTTCCTTCCAATGAAAGAAAGCTTATTTTTCTATGAAATCCCCGTGACCCTCAAGTGAAAACAGGAGTCTTTAAGTTTAAAGACAAACTTCACTGTATAATCAATCTCAAAGTAAGATTGACTATGTGGCGGTTCCTAATCTCTATCACTCTGGAGTTCTTCCCAAACTTCTCCCACCAAGACAGAACTAGAGCTTGAAAGCTATTTCCTTGGTGGGAGAAATTTACAAAGATCTCTCTCCTCGCAAAGAAAGAAAACATAACTTTTCGATCGAGCTACTGACCTGGATGTAGTTCCGAAAGTAAGATCTGATGGTGGGCTCGCTGAAGAACGCATCGTCGGAGCTGCAAGCAATGCCTGCTTGGCGAGCCCATTTCACATACTGGCTCTTCCCTCCCAGCGAATCGTAGTTGTCGCTCAAGCTTAGCAGCAGCCTCACGCCCTGACTCCTCGCTTCAGCAATGACAAAGTCGAGCGCCTTCAAAGATTTAGATTTCCAGACAAGATCACAAAAACAAAGTGTGAGTTTAAACATCTGTAAACAAAGAACTAAGACATGACAATGAGCAAAGACAAAGAGTTTTGTTGTTTCACCTGAAGCGATTGCTCGCTGTAAACTCCGGGGCGGAGCTGGATGGCGTTGTAGCCACCGTCGTTGAAAGCCCAAGTTCGTGCCACGGTGAGGCCCAGACTCGAGGCTTGCCGGAGGAAGCCGCTGACTTGATCTCTCGACTCGCAGGCCACTCGGGTCATCCAGTAGGCGTTGAAGCCATTGACGTAGAACAACCGGCCGTCGAGAGTGAATCGTGTGCCGCTTCGTGTCACGAATCCTCCCCCGATCGGTCGTGGGCTGATCTTCTCTGAGTCGAAGTTGCTACTTTGAGCTAGACTAGAACTAGCTACTGAGCTTATAAGAGTCGAGACTATCAGAAGAAGTAGAGCAACCTGTGCTCGTGACTGTGATGATCTTGATCTAGCTAAGTGCATTGTCTTGGAAACGCAAGAATCTCAAGGAAGGAGTGGAAGAACTTGGAGTCTTTCACTGTTTTACCAGGCAAGGGCTTGTTAAGAAATGTTAAAGGTTTGCTCTTGAGGGAACTTATATAAGTCATGTGTTCTAGGATCTGGCAGCAAAACGGCCCAAACAGTTTCCACAATGCAGGCCAGAAAACCGACACAGACTAACGTGTGTGAGCTCGTTTCACAGTTTTTTAAGATCTTTGATGTTTCTTCATCCTGGACTCTGAACAGAACGAAGCCAATGAGATAAAAGAGGAAAACGTTTCTCTGCGCAAAGCTTTGCGGCTCAATGCAGGGGACGAATTGTCAAGGAGGAGTGATCGGTTGATCATGGCCATTTTTAAAAAAAATACTTTTGAATGGGAGTGATTTAAAAGCGTGAGAGAGCGAATTGAGCTCCCCCTCTGTTACATTGCAGTGATCACTCGAGCAAAATGGCTCAAAATCCATCCCCCCTTTGATTCGGTTCGTAACGAACGAACGTGGTGCATGTTACGACCGTTGGCGACCGGGTAAAAGAATATCCCTGCTTGCATTAATATGCTGCTCCCAAGGAACAAAGGATTGATTAATCGGAATGAAAACAAAACAAAGCTTGGCTCTTTGCGTGCTTCCAAGCGCAAACATCAGACTTTTGCGGCTTTACCACATGGTAACATGATTGCTAAGATTCTTGGGAACTATGTAAAAATTTCAAGTTTTTCTAGGGTTCTGCGATGCGTGGATTTAGACAGGGAGCTCCTTGACAAGCTTGGCGAGCTCTATGCAGTGCACAAGGAGGTATTCTTTGATGCGCTGATCGATTTGATTCTTGATAAGGCCATGCCACTCAAAGCATGGCATTTTCACAATCTCACGGGAAAGAGAAGAGGAGTCTTGACGGAGGGTTTCTAGTTGTGACTCCAGATTTGCTGAACGAGAAGTGTGATCAAGAGACCTTCACAAGTGTGATCCTGAAATGCATAGCTGATAAACCTGGATGAAACTAGCGAAGAAAATGGACACGGTGAAGAGTCTAGGATACAAGTGTGAGATGGTCCTGTTTGAGGATTATTTGCTCCTCTATTCAGAACCAGGGCATATCTTCCTTGAAATGGTGAACGAACATCCTAGTCTTGCTGCAAAACCAGAGGTTTACCAAAAGGTTTTTGACAGTTCCCCATCCGCTGACTCGGTCTTCAAGGAGGCAAGAGCTAAAGGCGTGGAGCTGGACTCAAAAAGTTTGAGCAATCTGCATTTGAGAGCATCTGATGATATGAGTTTGGTACTGGACATGGTTGAGGAACTAGCAATAGTTTATAAGTTGGCGTTGGACAGTGTTCAAAACTTACATGACGTTGTCTCCATTGTTAGAAAAGCTTGTGAGAAGGGAGTGGTGCTAGATCCAACTGAAAAGAAACTCAAACTTCGTCTTGAGCAGAGAGCGGAAGAGTGGGAAGACTTAATTGGAGGTGGGATGATCCTAAGAATGGAATCCTTCTTTTCCCTAAAGTGCTTAAGCCCAAGAACCAAGAGACATTTCAAAACATAAAAATCAATCTAAAACAAATCCTAAGCGCATCCAGAGAAAGTACATCGCTTCCACATGGGGCAGCAAACGGCTTTCCAGGAAAAGCAACACGGAATGCCTGTGAAGCCGCAGTGAATTCTCTTGTAGCACGGAACTGGGGGTGATGGCGGTGGAGATGGTCGTGGTCGTGGCGGCGGGGGCGGAGATGGTGGTGGTGGAGATGGCGGAGACGGTACCTTCGCTTTGACAGGAAAGTAGACGAAGCCATTTACTCCACATCGACCCAGTGGAAGGCCATGGTTTCCACGCTGCAGCCTCATGTAGCCTTTCTCTCCCCAGTTTGTCCCCGCCGAGTTTTTGATGATCCAATAGTCTTGGCCGTTTTCGGATCCATAGCCGACGATGAGCACTGCTAGATACGGAGTTGCCTGCTCGTCTTTGCACGGGCCCTTGTAAATCCCCTGCATTTTTAGAATTTTGGGCTTGAGCGAGTTTTCCTTCAAAAAGAATGATTTTTCTCATACCCCTTTGTAGCGATGGAACTCCGGCGCGTTGCCATCGATTAGAGCTGTCACTGGCTGCTTGGCAACCTGCTTGACGATCTCAGTGTCGTCGCTGGAGCTGTAGAAATTGTCGTAATTGTCAATGCCTACGGCGTAGCGGTTCTGGAAGAGCACAACTTTAGTAAAAAACAATGGAAACACAAGAGCACGCACGCACTTACGTGTTTTCGGCAGGTGCCATTGAATCCTGTGAAGCGGTAATCCGATGCGGTGGAGAGGCCATTCCCTGTGTCGACGAGGTATTCAAATGCGTTCTGGGGAAACCCGCTGTGGCAGCCATCGGTACCATAGCTCCGGGAGCAATCCAGCAGCTGCTGCGCCGACAGCTCCACCAACACTCCAGTCGCAATCTTGTTGATTCCCTCGATGGCTTCTGCCGCCGCAAAAGCCCAGCTACCATCTGTATCGTGATATACCACTAAAGTGCGAAAAAAGGATTAAAGATTTATACTCTGGCATCCTTTGCGATCTTTCACAGGTGTGACGGCCCCCAAACGTCTCCAGTCCATGGACTTGGGGGGATCAGAGCTAACGTCGCCAAACACTCTGATGCCTGCATTACCATTCGGATTAGTATCACTTGCGGCATTTGGATCTGCAGCAAGCAGTAATAGGAGGATGGAAATCGAGACCAAGGGATGCAGAGACATTCTTAGGGAGTTTCTTATCTGGAGAGAACGAAGGGTTATATAGCAGGTCACAACACCCCACGAGACTCATGCGGGTGAACACACTGTCCATCACACTAACACATTGATAGAGACTTGGTTGACTTGAACAGATTTACTACTGAGAATGAAGTCAAGGATAGACAACGCACGAGGCTGGCTTAGAAATGGCATGGCAAGTAAACAATTGGGAACCTCTGAAGTGCTTGAATGAATATTGGCGGCTCGTCCAATCCACAGTTTGATTATTTCGCCAACTCGCATCTCCGGAATATCATTTATCAGAACTCCGCGTTTGCAGCCTCGCAATAGAGAAGACATCGAACCTTACACGAAAGCGCTGAGATTTCAACCCAGCCGTACGGAACATGGTCAAATATGTGATCATAAGAACCAAAACAAGAAAACTCTCTCGAGGACCTTAAAGTCGTAGTTGTGAATCTGGATCCAGCGTGTGAAAAACTTGGGCTGAATCCGCCCATGAGCTGGAAGACGAGCTCCAGGGGCAGCGGTGCTGGCGGCTGTGCATGTGCCAATCCCGAGATATGGATCCCAAATCGTCCTCGTAACCCACCCTGTTCTTCCACGATGATCTCAGTAGCTTTACAATCGCCATGGCGGGAATGAGTGACGTACGAAGGGAAGATTGATCACTGTCACCCGGATATCGATATGGCTCTGTTGGCTTTGGAAAAGCTACCTTGGCTAATATCCATACCTATTACTAAAAGTTCCAAAAGGGATGAGGGCGAGGGAGGTCTTGGCTGTGGTGATAGAGAATCAGGAGCTGGACACGGATTTCTGCAGTGCGCTTGGCAAACTCTACTTAGAATTCGAGGAGCTCTTCCCGGACGAGGTAATCAACGTGATTTTGGATAGGGCAATGCCACTGCATGCATGGGGATTCCACAAGGTGACCAACAAGAGATGTCACAGCAGGATGGTGCAGAGGGTTCTCGATGGCGGTTTTATGATGCTGGCTCTAGACATGCTGGACGAAACTTGCGACCAGGAGACGTTTACAAGAGTTCTTGCGCACCCGCATCAATATAATCACAGGGAATACACCGGAGTGCTCAAGCACAAGGTGTCCTCTGCCATGGAAAAGATGAGGAAACTGAATCTGAGGAGGGAGATTCTGGTGTTTGAGAATCTGGTCCATTTGCACTTTGCTCCTGAGGATTTGGAGAGGCTGTTTCGAGAGATGATCAATGAGCATCCTTGTATAACAGCGGAGCCAAGTGTCTACCAGAAAGTTTTCAATTCCTCGCACAAGCTAAGTTTCAAACACTTGGTTGCAAAGGAGGCCAGGGCCAAGGGCGTCAAGCTGGTGGTAAGCTCAAACCTCTTAGAAAGTAGCAGTGATTATAGTGATGATGATTGGAGGAAGATAATGGGTGTAGTACTTGAGATTGTCGAGGAGCCAGTGCAAGCTTATCAGATCTTGCTGAACAAATCCCAGGACGCTGATGTTGTCACGTCTATCATCAGAGAAGCCATCTGCATGGGAATGGCACTGGATGTTACACCCAAGCTGGTCAAGAAGCATTTGTATTTTGATCTCCAGGAAAGGCTGGGGAAGCATTTTCTCGTCACAAACTTAAAGAAGGGGCTGATTAAGCTAGACGACAAGGCACTAGCCAAGAGTTTAGACGATCGCAACTCCAGTGCCGGTGTGGTGTTTGAGCTTGCAACAAGAGCAACAAGTCAGGGCTTCCCTCGGGTTTTGGAGGAGATTCTTTACACCGAGAAGAATCCCGAAGTTGCTCGTTTGATGTTCCAGTTCGAGGCCTTCTGTAACCTGGTGGAGCCAAATGAAAAGACATGCAAGCTTCTGGCTAATAAACTCTTGCAAAAGGATATGGTAATTGAAGCCCAGTTTGTGATAGATACGTGCTGCAGAACTCACCCCAAATCGCTGATTGAGAAAGACTTTGGTGATGAGGAGAATGAGGAACACTTTGGTGATGAGGAGAGTGACTAGCTTTTAAACATGTTTAAAAGATATTACAGCAAAATACATACATGTTTAAAGAGAATAGGCAGTACATTTATTTGTTCCACCAGGGCCCGGACGAAACAAAGCTGCAGCTAATCCTCTTGTAGCACGGAACTGGGGGTGATGGCGGAGAGAGATAGTCGAGGAGAGCGCGGCGGCGGAGATGGCGGTGGTGGCGGAGACGATCATGCAGATGGTTCTCTGATGGGAAGTAGACGAAGGCGTTCACCCTGCATCGAACCAGTGGGAGCCAATGGGCTCCATGCTGCAACCTCATGTATTCACTGTTTTTGGATCTATAGCCGACGATGAGCACTGCTAGATGTAGACTTGCCTGGTCGTCTTTGCACGGGCCTTGCATTTTTAGGGTCTCCTTCACAAAAGAAGAAAAGAATGATTTTTCTCATACCCCTTTGTTAGTTAAATTCATCTGTCACGGCCTGAGGATGTCCATGTCATTGCTGGAGCTGTAGAAATTGTCATAGTAAATTGTCATAGTTGTACTAATGCCAAAAGAGATGCCGTTCTGACATGCAAAGTTCAAAACCACGGAAACATAAGACGCTGCAAGTCTGGTGGCTTAAGGGCACATTCTTACACAACAATAATAGCCACCTCTGTAAATTTGGACGTTAAAACCATCATTCAGTCGTTGGTCTGGAGGCAAACTTGTAGTGACGTATTTCACCAAATGCTATGCAAGTCCATGGTGGGATGGGATCATAATTTGAGTTTCTTTTAAACAAGTTCGAAGTTTGGAAATTCTCTAAGGGAATTTAGTCAAGGTAAACATGTTTAAAGAGAGTACATTTTAATGCGAAGTATGGAACGGCAAAATAAAACTGCAGGGTGATGGCAGTGGTCGAGGAGAGGGTGGCGGCAGAGATGACGGTGGTGGTGGTGGCGGAGATGGTGATGGTGGCTATGGAGATGGTCGTACCTTCTCTTTGACAGGAAAGTAGACGAAGCCATTTACTCCACATCGACCCAGTGGAAGGCCATGGTTACCACGCTGCAGCCTCATGTAGCCTTGCTCTCCCCAGTTTGTCCCCGCCGAGTTTTTGATGATCCAATAGTCTTGGCCGTTTTCTGATCCATAGCCGACGATGAGCACTGCTAGATACGGCGTTGCCTGGTCGTCTTTGCACGGGCCCTTGTAAATCCCCTGCATTTTTAGAACTTTGGGCTTGAGCGTGTTCTCCTTCAAAAAAGAATGATTTTTCTCATACCCCTTTGTAGCGATGGAACTCCGGCGCGTTGCCATCGATTAGAGCTGTCACGGGCTGCTTGGCAACCTGCTTGACGATCTCAGTGTCGTCGCTGGAGCTCCCGATATAGTCGTAATTGTCAATGCCTACGGAGCAGCGGTTCTGGAAGAGCACAACTTTAGTAAAAAACAATGGAAACACAAGAGCACGCACGCACTTACGTGTTTTCGGCAGGTGCCATTGAATCCTGTGAAGCGGTAATCCGATGCGGTGGAGAGGCCATTCCCTGTGTCGTCAAGGTAATCAAATGCGTTCTGGGGAAACCCGCTGTGGCAGCCATCGGTACCGTAGCTCCGGGAGCAATCCAGCAGCTGCTGCGCCGACAGCTCCACCAACACTCCAGTCGCAATCTTGTTGATTCCCTCGATGGCTTCTGCTGCCGCAAAAGCCCAGCTACCATCTGTATCGTGATATACCACTAAAGTGCGAAAAAAGGATTAAAGATTTATACTCTGGCATCCTTTGCGATCTTTCACAGGTGTGACGGCCCCCAAACGTCTCCAGTCCATGGACTTGGGGGGATCAGAGCCAACGTTGCCAAACATTTTGATGCCTGCATTATCATTCGGATTAGTATCACTTGCGGCATTTGCATTTGCAGCAAGCAGTAATAGGAGGATGGAAAGCGAAACCAAGGGATGCAGAGACATTCTTAGGGAGTTTCTTATCTCGAGAGAACGAAGGGTTATATAGCAGGTCACAACACCCCACGAGACTCATGCGGGTGAACAGTGTTGGTTGACTTGAACAGATTTACTACTGAGAATGAGTCAAGGAAAGACAATGCACGAGGCTGGCTTAGAAATGGCATGGCAAGTAAACAATCTGGCATCCTTTACGATCTTTAACAGGTGTGACGGCTCCCAAAGTTCTCCAGTCGATGGATTTGGGAGGGTCAGAGCCGACGTCGCCAAACATTCTGATACCTGCATCACCATCCAGATTACTATCACTGGCGGCATTTGCATTTGCAGCAAGCAGTAGGAGAAACGAAAGCGAGACCAAGAGGCGAGGAGACATTCTTAGAGAGTTGCTTATCTCGTTAACATGAAGGGTTATTACAGCAGTTACAGCGTACTACTGTCGATCTTACGGCTAGGACAAAAAAACGTAATGAAACGCAAGATGGCAAAGGATATACAATACAAATGAGGATCCTTGGCTCAAGACAAAATGGCATCGCAAAAACAAACAGGGGAGACAGAGACAGAGAGAGAGAGAGAGAATTTAAACTCTACCTCTGAAAAGTTTGTACGGCTCCTCGAATCCAGACTTTCAGTCTAGCTTGAGGTCCGCATCTCTGGAATGCCATTCATCAGCACTCGCGTACTTGCAATCTTGCAAAAGCTTGCCCGTCGGCATTTGTTAGATACGAAAGCGCTGAGATTTCAACCGTTCGAACCATGGTCGAATGTGTGATCACCTCCACCTGCATCTGAATCAAACACACCGAGTAAGAACCAAAACAAAACAAAAAAAAAGAAAAAAAAGAAAAAAAATACTCTCGGGTAGCTTAAAGTCGTAGTTGTGGATCTCCGGATCCGGATCTCCCGCAGAGGCAAAGGCACACCCATAGAACCTATGAAAACTCGGGCTGAATCAAAGAAGACCGCGGGTGAAAAACGTCCTCCACAATCGCATAGCCAGTGGGCAGACCTCACCTCAGTATCTCGAGATCCGCATGGTAGAAATCCACGTTCTTGTTTGGATTGGTGGTGTTGAGGATGCAAAACATGACGAACCTCAGCGTGTAAGCATAGTGGTTTCCTTTCCCTTCTAGCTGCTGCTGCTGCTCCACAAGCTCTGGATCACCTGTCCATACATCATCTCCATGAACTGGACGGGGCGAGGATGGTGGTAGAGCTGGAAATCCAAGAGGACCAAGTAGTAAACGAGCCCAGCAGCCACGGAGAGGATTCCAATGACCAGCAGCAATCGAAAGAGCTTGGTTCTTCCTTTGAACTCGGCCTCGGAGATCTCCCTAAAGCGCCCGGAATCCATGAGCTGGAAGACGAGGTCCAGGGGCAGCGGTGGAGTTGCCGGCTTTGTGCCAATCCCGAGATATGGATCCCCATTCCCATTCTCTTCGTCGGCCTCATAACTCTGACCACGTTCTTCCACGATGCCTTCCAGCCTCTTCTCCCTCGCCGCGTCATTCTCGCCATGGCGATCGATGTCCCGGGACGGAAGGTTTATCCGGAGCGCAGTATTGCCATATTTTGCGCGATCGGGCTCGACCCCGACCTAAGGGCCGATTTCCTGGGTTACCCTCACCTGGAGGAGATGTCGATAGCTCGGCGCTGCTGTTATCGATCGAGGAAGTAGGCGGCAGCGCCGTTGCCACACATGATCCAGCTCAGGCGAGAGCGCCTTGCTCCTGGCGCCAGAGCGACCCAACCTTTCGATTCCATACACTCAACACTTTTATTTTTAGAGAAATGGCGGGAAGCTTTTGAATTTGAATTTAAAACTTTAAAACTTTACGCGTTCTCGTTCTCTTGTTTGGAGTTCTTCTCGCTCGCCCACTTCTCGTCTGTCCCAGCGGCAAGGCTCGCTAGATTTAAAGTGTAGAGGGCCTGAGCTTCCGGATCCCCGGTTTCCTCGATGGTTTTGCCCAGTGATTCGGTCATCTCCGACACGAGCTCGCTGTTGTCTTGCATCAACACCTCCACCGCGCTCTGGATCGTGCTCTTGCCGCTGCTGCTGGCGCCCTCTAGCATTCGGGAGCTCAACGTTCGCACGGCTTCGATCGCGTCGTCCAGCCTCTTGAGGTATATGTACGTGATCATGACTTTGAGAATGGTGTAGGAGTTTGGAGGGATGTTGCGGTCTTTCATGTCGTCTATCAAGAACTCGATCATGTCGATACGACCCTGAGAAGAGAATTTAGACTAGAAAAGGTAAACCCGCAAACGAAAGGCAAGATAGCTCACCCGGACTGCCGCAGCACCTATGATTGTGTTAAACGAGTAGATATCCGCCTCTATGCCCGTTCTATCCATTGTCTGGATAACTTCCAGTGCCGATTCTAGCTCGTTTGCAGCACAAAGAACCTGGATGTATCAGCCGAATCAGAATAGAATAGAAGGAAAAACTAAACAGGTTGGCTACTGACCTTGATGAGCGAATTGTATGTAACCGAATCCGGACTAAGGCCGTCGTCTTGTAGCCGCTTTAAAACCTCGTTGGCATAAGTTACATCTTTAGACCGCAGGCATCCATAGATCATAATGTTGTACGAGTGAAGATTTGGCTTGAGATTCTTTGCAGACATCCTGGTAAAGAGTTCCTTGGCTTCTGAAAACTGCGAAGGGTTAGACTGACAAATAGAGCAGCCAAACTCTAAAGATGGGACGTGCAAACCTGGTCGAACATAATGCATGAGTACATTGCAGTGTTGTATGCAAAAGCGTCCAAGAATGGAGCTCCATCCTCTGCAGAGAAAGCTTCTGCGTTTAATAGCCGCTTGAGAGCAGGACCAAGCATTCCTTCTGATCCTAATCCTCGCATCTAGTTGAAGAATGAAAAGAAGGAACCAATTAGCCGCTATGAACATAAGGTTTTACATACCAGAGCCGTCAGAGACTGACGTGAATGCTGAATGCCAGAGGCCAGCATATCTGCTTCAAGCGCTCCCAGTCTGCTAGTCAAGTCCTCGTGAGACGACTGATCACCCCCTGCATAAGGGACGCTAACGCTACCAAAATTGCAAAAAAGGGCCGTGTACGTGCAGATGTCCGGAGGTACACGCGCGGTTTTCATTGTTCTCAGTACACGCAGGGCACGATCTTGTTCATTCTGTCCGAGAAAAAGTAAGGTGAGAGTACTCCTATCATCTTTCATACCGTCAGTGAGCACGCCTGAAAAATGAAGTTGAACGCATGAGCAGTGGGCCGTTGACTAGGCTTGGCTTTCAGCATTTGTTCCAACAGGTTCTCAGCTTTATCTAGCTCTGAGTTTCTGCAGTAGCCTTCCACGATAGCACCATAGATTGCACTGTCAGGTTCTATTCCTCTGGACTCCATGTTCTGAACCTGGTAAAATGCAGGGACAATGTCATAACGATTCAGGAAATTCAGAACTGCTGCTTACAAGCTTAAGTCCATATTCTACACCTCTCCCTTTTACAACAGCTCGAATGACAGCGTCGTAAGTGACGATCGTTACAGGTATTTCCATCCGATTCATCTGTAGTAATGAAATAATTAATATGGAGTATCGAAACCAAATTTGCATTACCTTACCTCCGAAAACATCATCTCTGCTAGTTGATACTGACCCGTTTTGCTTGCTGTGCTGATGATTGCGTTGAAAACCTCAGTAACCGCCGGAGGAATACTTTCGGAAAGCTTCATTTCTTCAGCAATATGATCCAGCATCTCTTGCAAAATGATTAGTGCCTCACCAAGATCACTTCCCCGGCAAAGCGATATGATGTAAGTGCGATAAGAGTTAAACGAAGGGGAATAAATACTTTTCAGCTCGATCCACAAGCTCTTTGTCAAACTAAGATCTTGCTTTTTTCCTGCAAGCTGCGAAAAGAATTACAGCGGTAGCCAAAATCTATCTCGACTTACCCTGAGAAGTTCAATGTAAGTCTGTTGATTTTTCTCCACCTTTCTACTGGTCATCAACTTGAGACACTTATCTGCATGAATGCTGCTGCCAGCGGATGCGCAACCGTTCAACACACTGTTAAACATGAAGACGTAATCCACACCATCACCCCCAGTCGCAGATTCCAGCATTTCCATGGCCTGAGAGGACCATGAGAACAGTGTAATGACCTTCCAGGCATTAATGAAGCTTTTGATACCTCGTCCAGATTTCCAGCACGGCTCATAGCACCAAGAAGATGAGTGTCGCACCGCTCGTTGGTTTCCATACCAAGCTCTTTCATGAATCTCATTATCTGCCTCGCTAGCTGGAGAGACTTGTCTCTGTGAGTGATCCCAGGATCAAGAGATGGAAAAACTTACCTGAAAGTTTCCAGCCAGGGAGCACTGATAGAGAAACTCGTTACAGCTTGTAGCAGTCATCATCTCATACTTACTTAGATCCGGAAGGAGCTCCATTGCCTTGTCATTCTGCCCGGCCCTGATGGCCTCGATGAGCCGCGACATCAAATTCCAATTTTTGAGCTTCTCAAAGCCATCAATCTGCGACTCCCCATCTCCACACGGTTCTTTTGCTTCATGATCCTCCGCATTGTGTTTCTGAGAATCAGGAACCCCATGCGCGGTTGATTTCGGACCTTCCGGCTTGCTTCCTGGCCCGAAATGTGTGTAAGAAAAAGCAAGATCGCGATCCTAGAGACGAATTTCACCTGGATTGAGGCAGAAACTCCGGCGATTTAGCACTCCAAGCCTCGCCGCGGCCCTCCATCGCAGCAGCATTTCCTCATGAATGGCACGATAAACCCTAAACCCGGTGTAGACCTAATTCTTCTAGAGTAAGAATATTTGGTAGATGGAACCTTTGGTGGTACTCGCGATCAAACTTACCTTAGGCCTTGGCTTGGAGGACAAAGTTTTTTTGATAATATGTCAAGGTAGCGATAGACATAGCGCAACCAACGACTACAGTGATGGCAGCTTGACCTCCCAACAGCCCGCCAATCGCCAGCCGTCCATTTCAAATCCAGCCGTCGATCTCTGACGCATATTCTTATCAGCCTTGGGAATATTTAAACTTTGAAAAAGGGGGAATACTTTGAGAAGGGGGCGAAGTCTACCCGCATTGAGTGTAGCGCTGTGCGATGAGGATCCATTCCCTTCTCCTCGCCGCTCTCGCCGCCTGGATCTCGATCTACGCCACTAGGGCAGCGGCGAAAACGTTCAACATCACGAAGGAGCTCGAGGGTCACCCCAATTTCTCGGAATTCAACGATGCGCTCACGGAATCCGGCCTCGCGCGCAGCATCAACGCGCGGCGATCCATCACGGTGTGCGTCCTCACGAATTCGCAGATGAAGAGCTTGAAGGGGACCTTGGGCAATGGCTCGACGGACATCAAGCGCGTGGCGGCCTTCATCCGCCCGCTGATTCTCCTCACATTCATCGATCCATCCAACCCTCACACCGCGCGGAGCATCAACGGCAGCCAGCAAGTGAGCTCCATGTACCAGGCCGCCGGGACTGCCATCTCCGACCAAGGCATCGCCAATCTCACGCGGACGAAGAAGGGCAGTGGGCTCGAAATCGTGACCGCCGGTGGCTCCAACACGACCATCACAAAGGCCGTCAAGACCATTGGATTCGACCTCAGCATTGTCCAGGTCAGCAACTACGTGGCTCCGGATGGTGTCGTGGAGGCTGAGGATAGGCCGGTGGTTCCTGACGGGGCGCTCGCGCCTGCCGTGGCGGCCAAAGCCCCGCCGCCCCCAGTCTCCACCGACGAGGATTCCTCCTCCACGGACGATGATAACGTGGACAGCCCTCCATCTCTAGCCAATCGGCTGAGCTCCACCGCTATTTGGGGCGCATTGGGCGCCTTGGGTTGCGCAATCGTGATCGTTCTCTAGTTTAGGGTTAGATCGGTTGGGCTACATTGTCAAGTGTGTGTGTGTGTAAAAGATTGCATTTGAAACTTGTACGAATTTGTACGAACTTCGTTTGTGTGTACGAAATTGTAAAACCCTGGCCCAAAACATCGGTGTACGGTAGCGCCACTTAAGAGCCCTAAACCCTGGAAGCGATGAGGCCTTCTTGTTGCGTGTTGGAGCGGCCATTCCTTGGCGCCTTGGCGGGCGGGAGCGGCAGCGGCACCAAGATTCGCAAATTCGAGGTCGCATGTAAGCCCCGATCGTGAGGGATTTGCAGTGAGTGAAGGATTTCGCTGTGGATTTTCTAGTCGCTGTGCTCTAGGGCTCTTCGTGACTAATGCGTCGTGCTCTTGCAGCGGAGATTTAGGTGCTGCCTCGGCGCCATGCAGGACAATGCGGCTGCTCCAGCGCTGGTAAATTGGCTATGCTGCGTCTTGTGATTTCTTACGGTGCACTCCATCAATTTTTTCTTACAGGAGATTAGATTCGATACTATCAGGCAGGAGCTCTCAAAGATAGCAAGGGAGTCTTTTCAGACTACTCTTGGGGAATGGGGAAACGTGGAGCCTGCCGTCGCCGCGTGTGCGAATCCAAACTTTGGAGACTACCAGATGTAATGATCGAGCTTTCTTTTCTTTCTCTTTCTAAAGAATGTGTCTTTCATTACAGCAACAACGCAATGGGGATATGGTCCACCATCAAAGGCAAAGAAACGGAGTTTAGGAATCCAAGAGAGATTGCTCAGGTGACCATCTTGTGACGCGTTCCTTCGGCTGTCAGTCATACTTTGCGTTTAATCTTTTCAGAGCATTACGAGAAACTTCCCTCAAACTGGATTTGTGGAGACAACTAGCGTCGCTGGACCTGGTTTCATAAATGTCAAACTCTCATCTGTCTACATTGCGAAGGTGAGACAGTGTTCATTACTTTTTTTGTTAACTGTGCTTTTGTAGAGATTGAACGAGCTGTTGCTTCATGGGATTGATACTTGGGCACCAGTGTTGCCTGTGAAAAGAGCGATCGTGGATTTCTCGTCACCGAACATAGCAAAAGAGATGCATGTTGGGCATCTGCGCTCGACGATCATTGGAGATTGCCTTGCAAACATGATCGAGTACTGCAAAGTAGAGGTTCTTCGGCGAAATCATGTTGGTGACTGGGGAACTCAGGTACTGTGTTCTGGTATTTGTTGTTGTGACTAAAGTATTTATACGTTTTTGTGTATGTAGTTTGGAATGCTGATCGAATACCTCTTTGAAATGTTTCCGAATTGGGAGGACATTGGAGATCAAGCAATTGGAGATTTACAGGTTTTTTCCTTAGTTTATACCAGCACATTGTTTGATACTGTGCTTCGCAGGCGTTCTACAAGGAATCTAAAGTGAGATTCGACGCTGACGAGGAGTTTAAGGCGAAGGCACAGCAAGCCGTGGTCAAGCTGCAGGTAGAATATGCACGCTTCATTTGCTTGTTTTTGACGTTGTCCACGTCTTCAGAGTGGTGATGCCAAGTATCGTGCTGCGTGGAAGATACTTTGCAACATTAGCAGGAACGAGTTCCAGCAAGTCTATGACAGATTGAAAGTTTCCCTGGAGGAAAAGGTTTGAACCTTTTGGGTTTTGTGCGGCAACGTTAAACTTCTTGGCACAGGGCGAGAGTTTCTACAACCCTTACATTCCCGATGCGATTCAAATTCTCCGTGACAAGGGAATTCTGGAAGAAAGCGATGGCGCAACAGTTATTTTCGTTGATGGGCACAAGATACCGCTTATTGCAATCAAGCGGGATGGGGGCTTCAATTATGCCAGCACAGATTTGGCAGCGTTGTGGTACGTGCATCCAGATAATTGGTTTCATGTTGTTTTCCCACATTCTTTTTTTCTTTCAATTCAGGTATCGGCTGAACGTAGAGAAGGTGGAATGGATAATATATGTTACTGACGTTGGACAACACCAACATTTTGACATGTTGTTTAAGGTTTGATGTGCTTCTTATTTTGTTATCAAGGCTGAACAATTTCAAATTAGGCTGCCAAGCGAGCAGAGTGGCTTCCCAAAGAGGGCTATCCTCGAACTCAACATGTTGGTTTTGGTTTGGTCTTAGGCGCAGATGGAAAGCGATTTCGAACCAGACAAGGTACCGGTCTTGTGCGGCTTGTGGACTTGTTGGATGAAGCCAAGTCTCGAAGCAAAACTGCTCTGATTGAGCGCGGTAAAGCTAACTCTTCCTCTCTTGTCTTTCTTTCTTTCCTTAACTTTTTAATCTCCTTGTTTTTACAGGAAGAGACGACGAATGGAGTCCAGAGGACCTGGATGCTGCTGCGGAATCAGTGGGCTACGGAGCAGTCAAGTAAAAATTTGTGCTGTCTTTTTGTCCTTTCAGAACGTCACCGTGGGTTGCACAGATATGCCGACTTGAAAAACAATCGGGAAACCAACTATACGTTTAGCTTTGAGCAGATGCTGGATGTTAGAGTAAGTTGCATGTTTGTCTCCATTATTTATCTTCTGTAATCCTTTTAACAGGGTAACACCGCGGTGTACCTTCTGTACGCGTACGCCCGAATTCGCTCCATTATCAGAAAGTCGGGGAAAAGCATCGATGAGCTCAAAGAGGTTTGCGAGTGTCTCAATCTTTCTAATCTGTATGTGTTTTTTTTTTTTTTTTTTTCCAGAATGGTGCGATTGTACTGACTCATCCAGACGAGAGAGCTCTCGGTCTCTTCCTCATCCAATTCTCCGAAGTCGTCGAGGACGCTGTCACACGGCTCCTTCCAAACACGCTGTGCGAGTACCTGTACAACCTCTCGGAGAACTTCACGAGGTTTTACACGAGCTGCAAGGTGGGAAGAAATCAATGGTTTGATCATCGAAGCTCATGGTTGTGTTTCGTGTAGGTGAATGGAAGCCCCGAAGAGACGAGTAGATTGCTGCTGTGTGAAGCGACTGCCATTGTCATGAAGCAGTGCTTCAAGCTCCTCGGGATCACTCCATTGGAACGTCTATGATGATTCGGTATATTCGATTTTTGATTCGAACGAGTTTTGTTTAACCGCAAAGTAAAAAGATTATGTTAATGTCAAACATTTCGTCATTGTTCTTTAACCTTTATTTGCCCTAAAGTGGAAATGGGGAGTTTGGCATTTCGCGTGGCGCTGGCGCCGCCTCTCGTCGGTCGATCATCGAGGCATGGCGCGAGGATTTCAGGGGCGCGCTATCGATTGTCACGCTGCTGCTTCTCCTCGCAATCGGCTATGGCTAGCGCCGCGCTGGAGATTGAGCTGGTAAGCAAAACGAAAATCGTAGACGAGCTATAGAAATTTCTTTCCAGATTCCTTGCTTGAAGGACAATTACGCGTATTTGCTGCGTGATGCGAGCTCCGGCGCGATTGGAGTGGTGGATCCATCGACGGCCCAGCCTGTGATTGAAGCTCTCGAGCGGCGGGGCCTCAAGCTCACGCACATTATAAACACGCACCATCACTGGGATCACACAGGTGGTAATGCCGATCTTAAGAAACGCTATGGTGCACAGGCACGAGAATTTTTCTTTTTCTTTCTCTTGTCCTCTTTTCTTTTGCGAAGAACTAAACTATACTTGGTTGGTCGTGTAGATTGTTGCTCCTCCTGGCGATGGAATCCCCGGCATTGACGTTCCATTAAAAGATGGAGATACGTGGATGCTTGGAGAGCATGCCATGAAAGTTATTGGAACTCCTGGTCACACACGGGGTAGCTCTTTCTCTGCTTAGTTTCTCAAGTTTTGTTTCATGATTCTTATATCTGGAGATTGCGTTTCAGGTCATGTCAGTTACTATTTCGCGGATTCGAGAGCTGTGTTTACTGGTGACACGCTCTTTTCAATCGGCTGTGGAAGACTATTTGAAGGTTCTGCCCAACAGGTGGAGCTTTGAATTTAGCTTATTGACACGTATTTTTTTACAAGTTTTTCTTCTTCTTCCTAGATGTGGTCCTCTCTTTCAAAGCTCGCGGCTTTACCGGATGAAACTCGGGTCTTTTGCGGTCATGAATATACCTTGGTATGGACAAATCGTTTTTTCTCTGTTAAGGTTGTTCATTTCTCTTCACGGTTGCTTCTTACAGTCGAACGCGAAGTTCGCAATGACGATTGAACCGAACAACCCGGCCTTAAATTCGCATTTTGAGAAAGTCAAGCAGCTCCGAGACAGCGGCCTTGCCACGGTACTGCTTAGAAAAACAAGTACTTTCAGTGACGACTGCTTGGTTTGTATGTGTAGATACCGTCCTCAGTGGGAGAAGAAAAGAAGTTTAATCCATTTCTGAGGCCAGCTAGTCGGGAGATCCGGAGGAGCTTGAACCTCTCCGATGATGCTAGTGATAGCGATGTCTTCGCAGCCGTGAGGAAAGCCAAAGATAGAGCCTAATACGTAAGGAATACGCTAGCTAAGAGACCTTACATCAGCTAGCTATAGAGAAGCGAGGTAAGAGTTGATGAAGTCCCATCTTTAGAGATCACAAGTTTATTTTTTTACAGTAAGAACAGTAGCTTCCTTCGACTCAGTGCTTGAGACCATTGAGCCCCTCATCGCGCATTCGGATCATCACCACTTTCTGGTTACCTAGAGACAGCGAGAACAGCGCCTTGGCACAAACGTCCCTCATCTTCTTCCAGGCCGAGAGAAATCCAATCCTTACGCCTGGACGCTTGATCCTCCACGCTCTCATTTTCCTCCGGTGAGGCCTGCTCTTCATCCTGGATCCTCCCTTTGCTGCTTGCTGCTGCTGTTGCTGCTTTCCAGAACACTTGTCAGTGCCATCGATTCTGCTGTAGCTCCTCGCCGATTGCCTCATCTTCAAGCTCCTGTAAGCAACAGGGAGAAGTCCAGTATAGCTCTCCATTTCTATACTGTTCGCCTCTACAGATCTAGTGGAAGAATTCGAGAAAAGAGGAGGAGATCTTTTCCTTTCTTGCCAAAGTCGCGCTTTCTCTTTTCGAAGAATTAAGTCGCGAGAAAAGCAAAGCAAACTCCTTTTGCTGCTACGAGAGGAAAATTGCGCGAAACAAGACGAAATCTTCAAAGTCGTTCCTGCTGGCCAGTGAAGTCTGACTCGAGAAAAATCAAACAAAAAAAAAAAAAAAATCAAAAAAAGGAAGAAGAAAAGAAATGATAGAACAAAACCACTTGCAAGCGAGAATGAGTCTACACTCGGACAGCTTGGAGGAGTTCAGTTCTTCATGGTTATGTACAGGGCCCATGAAAACCATCTTTTTCTCGCACCAAATTCGTGTCAGATTCGTTCCCCTGCGTGTTGCGAAAAGAGAAAAAACTTCGAATAAATCGTCAAAAGGCCAGGCTTTGGAATGAAGTGACAATTTTTTTTTCTTTCCTTTAGGTAGGAGGTTCCGAGTTCCCACCGACGACAAAATTGCCTTCCAGAACGCTTTGACCGGAATGCCAAGGTTTGAATGCGAAGCATATACCAAAAATCCGCATATTTACAGAATATGCTTTTCTTCGCTTAGCGAGCTAAACTAAACAAAAAGTTAAGTGGGAAACATTTTCACCTTGCTTCCACGATGGAGTTCTCTTCCTGGTAGCTCAAAGGCGCTTGCGAGGCTTGCGAGCTAAAAACGTATGAGGTGTTGGCGCTGCTGCTGCTGGGCTGATCGACGCTATCGACGCTGCGGCTTCGATCCTTTCCACCGGAGTCCGAGAAGAATCCCGGGGCCGCGTCCTTGAGAGCGGAGAAGTAGCCTGGGCGGAGGGAGCTCACGTCCACCGGGGACGTCCCGACGAGCATCGCTACGACGTGAGACATCGCCGGACGCGAGGAAGCCACGGCCTGGCTGCACAAGAGGGCCACCTTGATCACTCTCGCCGCTTCCTCTTGAGAAACGTCTGTGAGCTCTTTGTCTACCATGTCCATTTCCTGCTTCCTCTCGTACAAGTTCCATGCCTGTTTGGAAACAACTTAAAAGATCGAACCGATGTTTTCCTCGTTTTGGCTTACCCATTCAAGCAAGTAGACCATGTCTGCTGGCACGCTTGTGTCCAAGTTGCTCCTCCCGCTCACGATTTCCAGAGCCAGGACTCCGAAGCTGTAGACATCTGCTTTCTCTGTAAGTTGGCCCCTCATTGCGTATTCAGGAGAAAGGTAGCCTCTGGAAAACAAAAACAAGAGTTAGCAGACTCGATGGAACTTGCATCCTCTTACGCACATTGTGCCGGCAACTCGAGTGCTAACGTGAGTTTCGTGATCTTGGAACAGCTTTGCCAAGCCAAAGTCTGCAATCTTTGGAGTCATGTTTCTGTCCAGGAGAACATTGTGGGCTTTGATGTCCCGGTGTACGATCTTGGGCTTTGAATCCTCGTGCAAGTATGAGAGTCCTCGAGCAATCCCCAGACAAATGCTGAACCGTGTTGGCCAGTTAAGAAGATCGGGCTTTGTGCGCCTTGAAGCTGGATCAAGAGAATCAGTTCATCAAACTCGATAAGCATTTTGAAACAGCTTACACAGCAAGACGTGGTGAAGGCTGTTGTTCTCCAAAAACTCATAGACCAAGAGCCTGTGATCGCCATCAATGCAGCACCCGTGCAACTTCACCAGGTTTCTATGTTGCACAGACGAGATAAGTGTCACCTCGTTCAGGAACTCGCGAGAGCCTTGCTGAGATTTGGACGAAAGCTCCTTGATTGCAACCACTGTGCCACTAGGCAATACACCCTTGTAGACTGCGCCAAAACCTCCCTGTCCCAGCTTGTTTTCCGAGGAGAAATTCCGTGTTGCGTTCTTTAACTCATTGTATGTGAAAAGGTCCGGCTTGCCTTCGAGATGCTTCAAATCTGCAACAAAAGCTTGAGTATTTTGCCACAAAACGTTTCAAAATGTACGTACCCTCGTCTTCCAATAAAGCTTTAAGCCGTCTCTGCTGTCTCTTCACTATCAGAAACACAGCAAAGAGAATAACGAAAAGAATGGCCGCGCCTATTCCTACGCCTATAGCGACAGCTTTTGAGCTCTTTGATTTGGATCCTGGTGCTTCCAGACCAGCAGTGCTAAAGACTGGAACATAAACATTCCAACTTATTCGAGCCTGGAAAGTTGACAAAAAGAATTAAGTGCGTACCTGGTGTCACCCGAATTGCAGCCACCAGAGGACCATAGCAACAAGTACCTTTACCCCTCCATACAAAGTGCATATCGAGAACATTATTCGTCACCTGGACATTTCTGAAGGTTCTCACTAGAGCTCTGGAGGAACCACCAGCTTCATTTTGTATGTTAAAGTCCTTCACCCTTTGCGTTCCCTGCAAGAGTGTGTGTGAATAAGAAAAACGCCTACAATAAGAGATAACAGAATTACCTGAAGATAAATATCAAACAATCTCCTAGTTATACCGAGCCAAGTGGTGCTGTTGTCCAGCTGAATCTCCGCAAAATGGAACTCCAGAGTGTATGCACCATTTACCATCCCAAGGCCTATGTATCTTAGCGAGCTCGGAGCACTTCTTGAAGTTTGGTAGAGCCCCCGATCAACTGTCCCCAGCACCGGCACAGTGGTGTTCTCAAAAGCCCTCACAAAGCCATCCGAATAGCCTGTACTGCCTACTACCCATGCTTGATCGTTTGAAGTAAACGTTCCCATAGTAAACATTGCTGTATCCTCGCTAAACATCGTCCCTGAAGACGATGTTATTTGTGGACCTCCACAATTGATAGCAAATTGATAACCTATACCCATTTTAATCAGAGAACGAAAAGCGAAAAGCTTTCTAGCTTACTTCGTCCATCTCTCACTCTGCTGCAGTTTGCTCTCGACTGCAGACAATTTGAAGCTGCTGCTCTAATGCTGCACGCAAATGTGAAAATCACATGATGTTCTCAGGAAAATAGAATACTTCAAAACATACTCTGGATTAAGATTAAATTGGTTCCATATGGTGTTCCTAAAATCAACAAAAAATGCGAATCAGAAAAATGAATGTGAAAATGTTAGTGACGTACGCTTGAGCGATTCTACTTATCCAGCTTGGCATGGGTCCAGACAGTTCGTTAAACGAGACATCCCTGCAATAAAATGTCAACCAACTAGAATAAATAAGCTGAAAACAAACGCAGTACAGGCGCTGGAGACTTGTTGATGCCAGTTGAGAAGGGAGCGGTCCAGTGAGGCGGTTGCTTCCAAGGAGACTTTACAACAAAATGACAAATTCAGCCGACATACAAGTCAAAAGAAAAAAAAACCAAAATCGTACAGATTTTGTAGAGAAGGAAACGCCCACAAGGATGACGGGATTACGCCGGTCAAATTATTGAAGCTCAGGTCTCTGGGAAATATTAAACGTGTAAGCTAGTTTCTGAAACTAGAACGTAGTTCTTACAGGTGTGTCAATGTACTTAGATTTCCAAGATCAGGAATGGAACCAGACAACTCGCAGTTTCGCAACATCCTGAAGATTAAACAGAAAGTTTAAAACGAACAAAATCAGGGAAAACTCACAGCTTGTTTATCTCCCTCAACATGTTGAGACTCGATGGAATTGCACCTCCTGATGTTATGTCTCCCAGGTCTCTAAAGATTGAACACAAGAACATAACTGTCAGTCATAACGCAAGAACAATACTTCACTCACAATGTCTTTATGTTGCGAAGGTTTCCTAAACTGGAGGGAATCGGTCCCTGGAAATTATTCCCATGCATTTTCCTGCAACACGTTTCTTAACATTTACATCTCACGGATCACGGCTCAGCTTACAAATCTTGAAGAGCGACCAGTCTTCCAATGAACTCCGGAAATGTCCCATTGAAATTGTTTCCAGCCATCCACCTGGCTTCCAGCCAACTGTAAGAGAAGGAAAAACGTGGAAAGCTTACAGTATTACAGAGTTTCAAGGCTTGTCAGATTTCCAAATTCTTCGGGTAGCTCCCCGCCTAGGTTGCACGCATCCATGTATCTGAAACAGCCCCACGATTCATTTTTTCCGAGGAAAGAAGAAGACGAAAAAAAACAACGCTTTAAAAGCTTACATTTTGCGCAAAGACTGTAAGTTTCCAATCTCCCTTGGTAGTGTTCCAGAGAAATCATTCGATCCAAAACCTCTGAGAAGCAGAGGAATAAGTGAGAAGAGACTAGGCCCACGTACCGACTCAATTTCTTACATGCTGACCAGATTTGTAAGCCGCCCCAAGCTAGATGGCAATGGTCCGCTCAACTTGTTAATTCCCACCGTCCTATACGAGCAAAAAAGTAAGCAGGATCAACAGAACCGCCTTAGAGCTGAGACAGAATTCACCTACAGATACTGCAAGTTGGATAGCGAGCCAATTTCGTCCGGAAGCCGCCCCGTGAGCACGTTTTGTGCCAAGTTCCTGAAAGCCCCAAAGAATGATGCATTGAACGATTACCGGAGCCAAACTTACAAGTCGTTCAGTTGGGGGAAATTCCCAATCTCAGGAGGGATCTGTCCAGCTGCGTTCATGCTCACCACCACTCTGAAAACGAGAAAACAAAGAGCAAAACGAGTTAAGAAGAAAGCCGAAAGCTCTCTTACATCCTGGTGACATGACAGAGCGAGGAGTTTCCCCTGCCGCAGTTGCACTCGATTCCAGTGATCGGGTTGTTGAAAGAATTTGCGCTGGCTGTGTTGTTCCATCCGTTCAAGCCGCTGCAAGGGTCCACGCTAAAGTTCCAGAACCTTGAAATGCGCAAACTATCTGCGAGGATTCTCAGAGCCGCCACTGTAGACAAGCACGACATAGAGAGTGAGATATCGGTTCTACACTAAGACTCGAAATGAATCTTACACTCGTCAGGATCTGTTGTTGTTGTTGCTTGTGCTGCTGCTCGATCATGGAAGGCAATGAAGAAAAGTAGCACCCAAAGCGCTGCTGCGCCAAGAGAAACCCCCATATAGCTAGAAGAGATAGAAGAAACACATTTTGATCAACAGTGGAATGAGATCGTACTATTAAGTAGCGAAAAATGACGAATTCGGTCAACTGGGCTGGCACCGAGTATGAAAACGGTGGCTGGCATAAAAAAGAAAAAGGTGGCGCTACTTGCACTCGTAGCACAAAATTGACCGAAAGCACAAGTGCTTACTGTTCATCGTTTTGTCGGAGCTTCTTTCTGGCCTCGTCTTTCCTTTCCCCGTCTGGAAGAGCTGCAGCCGCTTCGCGACGCTCTCTTTTTAAGCCCTTCATTTTCTTCAGCGCGATCTCTCCAACCTGTAAATAGTCTCGTTTCACGTGTGTGGCAAAGAGATGCACGGCATCGTACCTCCTGTTTAGGCATGTAGATCCTTCCAACTTTGCCGTCCATCATGTCGGAGCTTACGTTTTTAATCTAGCAATACACACAGTAAAGGGATCAGACGCGACTATTTCCACAAGTGATAAAGCGACAGTACCTTCTTCTGTGGCGCCTTTGAAACGGTTCTCATAGCCTCCTTTCTTAACTCCTCGCCAGGAGTTTGATTTCGTCGAAACACCATGTCTAACGATGGACCGACATCTACGAGCACAATCTGTGGAACCTTGGTACCCGATTTCATCAAACGTATGGCGCAGTGTCTAAACAACACCTGTTTGATTCCTATCGTGAGTACCATGTATATAATGAAAGAGAAAAATAGATAGAAATCACCTTAGTTGCTGTAGCAACACAAACAAACACACGATCCAGACCAGCAAGATTGATCCTGTCCACCTCCTGCAAAAACAAAAGACAAAAAAGCCAAGTTAGCAAGGGAGTGACTTGGAAAGATCATACCTCTCCCCTAAAGAAATCTAGCATCATCTCCTTGAACTGCCGGCATTTCTCATCCGACTCAAATGCTTCACCGATGAAGGCAAAGCACGGTTTAGATCCAACTTGTGGAGAGAACTTTCGAGCACCTCCATGATCTTTGACCGATTTATACCGCTCAACTCCAAGCTCCATGAAATCATAAACATGGTTGTCATAGAACCTCCCAAACACGATGTTGTTTGGCCGTTTCTTCGAGTGAGATCCAAACTGCAGCAAAACTTCACGTCAGGAGAGCTCGATCGAGAAGGAAAAGAAAAAGAAAGAAAGGAATGCTCACCACTACCAAGCTGCAGTCTGTTTTCTTGGAGAAGAATTCCAGAGGAGCAGCGCCGGCTGGCTCGAAAGGCCGGATGTTCTCGTTTTTCCGGGTCCAATGCACGGCATTGCCGCCGTCCTTCTTGATGTGGTGTAGATCGCTAAGAACTCCCTTCACAACCGCTGAGGTCGAGGTGCCGTGGAGCAAGAGCGCCTTCTTCACATTCTCCTTCTGCGGCGACGGAATCAGACCTATGGATCGGCGATGAAGAATCAGAACTTACAATCTTTGGAGCGCGCTTCTCCAGCGCCCGCCTCGCTTGCTTCGTCTTGGGCTTCACAACGCGCAGCATCTTCTCCCCCCCTCAAGAACCCTAGCAAAATATTTAGGGTTTATCAAAACATGGACAAGGCGCTATGGCTGTGCGCGGGAGCGGTGTTTGGATCCGTCGCGTGCATAGCTGTGAATCGCTACTGGGATTCCTTCTCCGATCCGAAATCAAGGTGTGTACGCGGTTTTTCTGGACTGTTCGGATGATTTTGGCAGAGAATGGATTTTCTTTCGGCGAGAGACGAAGGTTACAGTAGCATTGGACACAAGCAAAGGTATTTCGTCCTTCTTTAGCTCTTTTTTCTCTTCACAGAAGACCTTTCATTGCGCAGTCGATGAGGAAGCCATTCTTCCTGATTTAAGTGATGAGATTCTAGTCGAGCAATTTACACGGTATGTTCCACGCTGCTTTTTTTTTTTTTTTTCCATTGTTTGGGAGGAAGGAACTTCTCTCTCGTCCAGGAATGTCCAATTTTTTGGCTTGGAAGGACAGAAAAGAGTCCAAGCTTCGTTCGTGATCGTCGTTGGACTTGGAGGAGTGGGCAGCCATGCCGCCGCGATGCTCCTCCGGTCTGGAGTTGGAAAACTTCGCTTGATCGATTTTGATCAGGTTGGTTTCCTTCCATCGTTTTTGTTTTTGGTTTTTCCTCCTTTCATTCAGTGTGAGAATGCTTTGTTACTCGCGCAGGTCTCTTTGTCTTCGCTTAATCGCCATGCTGTGGCGACGAGAGACGATGTTGGCACTCCTAAAGCAGTTTGTCTAAAGGAACATTTTTCTCGCATTTATCCTGAATGCGTTATTGAGGCTTGCAGCGAGCTGTTTGACGAGTCGTCGGCGGAGGATTTACTTTCGGGGTCACCAGATTTTGTTTTAGACTGCATTGACAACATCGACACTAAGGTGAGATGTTTCTACTCTAACTTTTTGCAACTTATATCATGAGTTCGTGGCGCAGGTTTTTTTGATCGCTACGTGTAATAAAAAATCGCTTCGAGTTTTGTCCGCGACGGGTGCTGGGGCCAGAGCTGACCCGACTCGCGTTCGTATTGCGGACGTTTGTGAATCATCGATCGATCCTCTTTCTCGCGCGGTATGCTCGTCTAAATTTCTTCTTCTTCCTCTTAGAATAAATACTAGGTGAGGCATCGGTTAAGACGCTTGCATGGCATAGAAAGTGGAGTTCCGGTGGTGTTTTCCATGGAGAGGCCGAAAGCAAAGCTGCTACCTGTGAATGGTGTCGATGGACAGGAAGGAAATCCTTCAGATTATCAAGTAAGTAGTTAGTGGTAAGTAGCTTGTATGCTATGTGAATATCGAGCTGACAATGAGCAGATAGTTCCAGGTTTTCGAGTTCGAATAATTCCCGTGCTCGGAACAATCCCAGCCATTTTTGGCCAAGTCATGGCCTCTTACACAATTGCGAAGCTTGCAGGGCTTCAAGTTGAAACAGAGCCCGTGGTTAATCTAGACGTGGAGCACTATGCTGTTCTTCATCGACGTCTGATTGAACGGGAAGAGCTGCTTTATGGAACAGCCGACGCTGTTGAGGTGAGCAGTTTCATGGCTTCTTGGCGCTGTTTCCTCCAAAGCTTGCATTTGAAGGTGGACAAGGAGGAAGTTGCCTATGTTGTCCGAGAGCTATGGCGTGGTAAAAGCGCAAGGAACCAGGATTCTCACGATGTTGGCAGAGGGATGTGGCGATCGGTGAATAAACTGACACTAACGAGGTTTGCATTTCCGTTCCAGTCTTACAGTTCCTTCAGCTCTTTGTGCAGATGGGATCACAAACAGCCTCCCAGTGTTTCGAACTTAATCCTGCTCACATTTCAAGAGGTACGGCGAAACTCGAGAGATTTTCTTTCTTTATTCATGTTTGTCCTTGCCTCAGGCCGAAAAACATGAGGCTTCAAGCGTTGAAGAAATCAAAGAGCAGGAACCAGCTTTCTACGCTATGGTGACAGAAACCCTTAATCGTGGAAAGAAAGAGTTTTAAAGGCAAAGCTGGCATTCTTTTTCTCGTGAGTTAATCACTGGAGAAACCTTCATTTATAGTAAATTTAAGCTGGAAAACTCAACTCTAGAGTTGCTCCCCTCCACACTGTAGGAGAAAATAAATTAGCATGCAGAAGTTTAAACCTTGCAAAAAAACAATTCCTCCAGTCTTCGCATGGCAATACTCTTTGACCCCACAGCTTCCATTTCTGTAGGAGAAAGTACATTACAACTCATGAACTTCATAAACGGCTCAAAACTGTCATTGCCTCCAAGCCCGATCATGCCTCACATATGTCCTGCTCAAAGCGGGTAAGCCAACTAACATTCGCAGGCAATTACCAAAAACTCATACCCACAAAGGTGGAGTTTCCTCGTCCGTCTGAGTCGTCTGCTTTCGCTTGCAGACCCTCCTCTCAGGTAGATCTTTGCCATTCCTCTGCAAAAATCAAAACGTCTAGAAGTTGATATGCAAAAGATATGCAGGAGTGTTTACCGCCATCAGTTTCATGTTCTCATCTATGCTGGCTGCATATGCTCGCAGCTTGTCCAGGTCCTCCATGTCACTCTCGAGCATTTGAAACTTCACCTTGTACTGAGGAAGATCTGGCAGTATCAACAGATCTTCATGCTCCCCTGTGGTCTTATTCGCTTTCCTCCATGTATGGTAGTCGAAGCGAGCATAGTTGGCCTCTGATGTGACAAAATACAACCCTGCGACCTGTATCTGGTTTCGGCGAAGGGAACTTACCAGCATATAAACTGGGTGCCACACGACCAGGTCCTTCTTTGCCAAAGTTGAATGGAGGAGGTACGCAACTTTCTGCTTGAAGTCAATATACAAACTGTGGATGGCCGCCTCCGTTTGCAACCTCGGCCAGAAATAAGCTGACTTGGCTCGTTCCCTGGTATATTCCTCCACCTTGGCTGTCAGGTCCGTAAAATCCGAGTAGAAACAGACGTGAAGATCCTCCTCCTCATCGACCACCAGGTTTTGGACGGTGTTTGAAGCTCGAGCGCGCTGGGTCCGAGGCACAATCTGCTCACAGTCCGTGAGGAACTTCGGAAACGTGAGGTGCATCAACAGTTCCATGATTTCTCCTCGAAAGCCCCTGACTCGTCCCACCTCTCTATAGGAGATAACCACGCGGCGCCAGTGCTGGACGTCAAGTCTCAGAAGCAGCTGCTCCTTTATAAAGGTCGAACCAATCACCATGCAGTTTTTAATCGATTCTTCACCCCTATCCAAGTGGATGATCTTGTGGGATTTGCCTGTGCACCGTCCGACTAGGGTGAACATGTCAAGTAGATTTTTCTGGCTAGAGATCTCATCCTTTAAGCTGTGCAGAATAGAAGAAAACTGCCATCGTTTTACAAATACAAGCCTCGGAATGTAGCCAACATAATAAACATGGTGCCGAACATCAGACCAAGTAAGTTCATCCCGGAACACATGTGCATGGCACTGCTTAAGTTCCTCTTTGCTCCACAAACGTCCGTAAAAAAGTTTGTAGCCGCTGGTAGTCTCAGTAAACTCTTTATACACAATTCTATCCGGGCTTGTGATAAACAGCGTGTTGGGATCTAAGAAAAACGTTGTGATGGGCTCATTGTCGTTTATGAAGATCGTCCGTTGGTCCATCAAGTACCTGTCAACCTCGGCTCTATCCCCCACAGAATCAAACTTTTTCTCTTTAAAGACTGCATAGCCGGTTCCCATTTTCTTTTCATGGTACACAACAGTGTAACCCTTCTTCATGAAGGTGAACAGCAGCTGCAAGCCGATAACCGTCTTTCCTGTTCCTGGCTGTCCTATGAAGAGCGTCCAAAACGGGACAGGTGCCCCAAGTCCACGTCGGCCTTCCGCTTGCAGCTCACGACGCTCATGAAGCTCACGAAGCTCATCCTCTAATTCGTGAAAAAGCTCCACACAGTCCTGCCGAACATACAGAAGCTTGCTCCTTGGGACATCCCAGTAAGTCGTGTCCCCCAAGGTCGGTACGAAGAAACAGCCTGCTACGGGCTCGTCTCCAATACGTTTCATCCCGCCTGGGGTGTGCTCCACAAACTCCGACTTGTGAAAGTTCGCAAACAGCCTAACCAGAGCTGGAACACATAGCAATCAGGACGCAGTTCGAGAAAACTGTTAAGCGCTTACCATCGTCATTCGACATCTCTAGAGCCCTAAAAGAAATTTGGAATCTAAGGCAAATTTTGTCGCCGCTGTGGCATGGTAGATCTTCAAGGCCATGAACTGCAACGGTACGGCGTTACATTCCTGGGAATTCCGGATCCCGGCGCTTGAAATCCGGATTCTTCTTCCCTACCTCTGCAAGACAATGGTGTTGATAAATTTCCACCGGCCGTGAGAGGATGCGTCGGCATGAAAAGTACCAATCTCTTCTCCTGGACATCACGAGCTCTTGCGCAGCGGGCATCTAGAAGAAGCAGGACCGCGTTCGATCAAATGCAACGCCGTGATCACGGCGATGCCAGAGAGAGACACCAGCCTGATCCAAAGATATCTTCCACGACATATGCCGAAGTGCCCACAATGCTTCAGTGTTCTCACAAAGCAAAGATTTCAACAGTGCTAAGACGTTTTTGAAGAGATGCCCCAGCAAAACATAGTCGCATGGAATGCGATAATCGCAGCACTTTGCCGATGTGGGCATTTTGAGAAAGAAATGATTGCTTTTGACAAGATGCCCGTCTGGCAGCACAATGCACCCAGCACTGCATACGCAGAAAAAGGATTTACTCGCGAAGCGAAAATAATGTTTGCGAGAATGCCACAGCAAGGATTCGTCTCGTGGAATGCTCTCCTTGCAGCAAATACCAAGCTCGAAATCGCAAGCGATTGTCGAATCGATGCCGGTGAGGAACATTGCTCCTAAGGATCCAAGGTGAGACAAGTCTTTGATATCTCGAACAGTGGATCGCAAGAAAAAAAGTTTACTTTTGTTTTGCTGGGGAACTTAAACAGTGGTTTGACTTGACACGCTGAATCAGAATCGAGGTCTTCTAGACGTTTGACTTGGTGGATCACAGTCCACAACACGGTAAAACAAGTTTCGGCAGGTCAGTCGTGTTGTCACAAACTATAGAAGAATGTTTGATCAGTTCCGGGAACTTTCACTGAGACATATTTCTACAGGGGAATTGCGAAAAAAGATAGGATTGTCTGACCGCGATGGTGGGCGGTGGTGGTGGTGGTAGTGGCGTGACCGCGCTCGTCACGCGGCAACACGGGCCGGTTCTAAGAAAGGTCAAGATTTTCACACCTTATTGTTGTTGAGTTTTCCATCTCCCCGCGTCCTTCTAAGCATCTATATAGGCTCCCTCGTTTCCTCCTGATTCTAACATCGCTCATAGTCCGAAAACGTTTCGGTTTGTTTCTTCTCTGCGAACTTAGCAGCAGGAAGATCAAAGATGGCTTCAAAGAGTCTTCTCGCAGCACTGGCATTGCTATCGCTCCTACATTTTTCCTCTGCGGTGGAGTTCACAGTCGGCGATAGCAACGGATGGACTTTCCAAGTTAACTACACACAATGGGCTTCGTCGCAAACTTTTCGAGTAGGAGACATTCTCGGTAAGTGATAGTCCTCGTTTTCTAGTTCTCGAGCTAAAATTCTATCGACCGTGTCCTTGCAGTGTTTCCTTACACATCAATCCACGACGTTCGCGAAGTGAGTCAAGCCGACTACGATAGCTGCGATGGATCCAACGCCGTCACTACTTATGCCACCGCCAGTCCCATTCGCGTCACGCTCTCGAGGCCAGGAGCTCACTGGTTCCTGTGTGGAATTCCCGGCCACTGCGCAGCAGGGATGAGAGTTCCAATCAATGTTGCCACTGCTACTTTCACTGCTACTGCTCCAGCTCCATCGCCATCCGCGCGATCTGGCGGCAGGGCTCTCTCTCCAAGGAGCTCGCTCGCGACATCACCCTCTCCATCGCCAACGAGCTCGCTCCCGGCTTCACCGTCACCGTCATCTCCATCGCCAAGCAGCTCACTCGCACCTTCACCGTCACCGTCACCACGGAGCTCGTTGGCATCATCGCCCTCACCGTCACCGTCAGCATCATCGTCTCCAGCGCCATCGACGACCGTGATCCCAGCTCCAGATCTTCCACCATCGCCACCAAGCTCTGATCTTCTTCCACCGGCTAGTATTCCAACCAATGCGCTTCCTCCGGCCTCTCCGCCCTCGAGCTCCGCGCAGCTGGTTTCCATCGGCTGGGGCCTCACCATAGCTGGATTGGTTCTTGCTCTCTAGAATAGAACCATTCCGTTTCAAATCCAATCGCTTTCCTTTTATTCCTTGTATTTTTTAAAATTTTTTTGTAGCTACTAGTGAACGCAGAGATCTCGGACGATCATGTATACAAAGAAGTTTCTTCTTTCATGATTCATGGCGAGCTTCTAAGATCATCCATCACTATTGATAAAATATATTCTCATTCTTTTCTTGCACCACTGTACAAATTTTGTTAGTTCCCGTGGCAAAGAGGAGCGAGCATATTAGTTATAAGGAGGCGTTCTTCCATACAAGAACTACTAGGAATTGGACATTGACCAGCAGAACTAAGGAAAGGAGGAGATAAAAACGAGATAAAGAAGAAGGGGGTTATATATCTTTATTTGGTAGCGCAAATCTTGGTAGCACAGTTAGCAGCTTACATTCGCAGCCGTCCCTATGATCACCTGCAGCTCCTCCAATTCACCACCAGGGCTTAAACGCAAAAGCTATTGAATGATTGTTTAGTGCCTTGACACTGCTTGAGAGAGATGCCTTCTAGAATATTCTCCAGATGCCCATATGGTATAAAAAACGTATGGCAAGAGCCGTCTGATTTCAACATGTACATATGAATGACATTATAGATGGATTTCTATAATCCCACGACGTTTTGATATAAGTTACAAAGAAAAATTCGGTGTAGAAAGCTTCTAAAGTACCCAGTTTACATCCTAAAAAGCCTTCTTAGTAACTAATCCATGGTGAAACATGACGTTTATTTCCCACAACAAAATGCACAAGACCATTGAGTTGGTTTAATCATGAAAGACACGGTGTATGCCTTTTGAACCATCGTGAAATGAGGGGTCTCGATCACAATTGACGGCTCCATCTTCTGTGGATTCCACCGTGAAAATGGAGCTAACACATCGGACTTGCAAAAAAACTTAAAGTTTTGATGGGTTACAATCGATGAGCTGCCACAGCCTCCACCACAAGCTCAAGAAGCAAGAGGACAATGAGCCATAAGCAGCTTTCTTCTTGTCTGGCAAGTAGGTGGGAGCTTGAGGCTCGTCACAGTGTAGCAAAGTGCTAGGGTTTGTGGCATGATGGGACTAAGACAAATTGTCGAACATACCTCTTGAGCTCCTAGTCTAGTGGGGAGAAAGAATAATCTCCCT